GCTCAGGGCCAGTCTTCCTCAGCAAAACGAGGAGGATTGGCGTGGATGTTAGCTCAGGGCTGATCTTCCTCACAAAAAAATAAAAATAAAAAGCTATTAGCAAGCTCATAGGATCTCCGAGAGGGCCAGGGATCAGGTTTAGAGTCCATGTGGCTGGGAACAATGCCAAGATCACACTGATCCGGCCAAGACAAAACAGCTGGTGGCTTCCACATGGGGGTGGCAGGAGTGCCATGTGGGAAATTCTCTGTCATAGGAAGATGATGCCTCAGAGCGTTACAGAGGGTTTCACTGCACTGGTTAATTTTCAGAAACTTCGGAGATTGTTGAAATGGCACACCATGTTCTAATCCTCTTTCCCTCAGGGGACTATATTCCACGCCAGGTGCAAACCTGGATTAAGCAGTATCGAGCCTCAGAAACCAGCAGCATCCCAGCGATGGAGAGGCTCATCGAATGGCTGCCGCTCCATCTTCCCAAGCAACAGAAGACCACAGTGGTGCATGGGGACTTCAGGTAGACACGGCCATGAGGAGGGGCGGATATTTTGATGTGAAAAATGATGGGAAGGGCATTTGAAGGGGAAATTAAGCAGCTGGTCTTGGTTTAATTTATGGTTGAGAATTATTTCCATTACAAAAGATCTCCCCGTGCGTGGTCTTTTAAGGCAGGGTTTCTCAGACTTGGCACTATTGACATTTTGGGCCAGATAATTCTTTTTTCTTTTTTCTTTTTTTTTTTGTGAGGAAGACTAGCCCTGAGCTAACATCTGTTGCTGATCTTCCTCTTTTTGCTGAGGAAGACTGGCCCCGGGCTAACATCCGTGCCCATCTTCCTCTTTTATATGGGACGTCGCCACAGCATGGCTTGACAAGCGGTGCGTTGGTGCACACCCAGGATCCGAACCTGCGAACCCCTGGCCACTAAAGTGGAGCACACATACTTAACCACTGCACCACCGGGCCATCCCCCTGGGCCAGATAATTCTTTATGATGGGGGCTGCCCTGTGCAACAGCGGGAGTTGACCACCCCTGGCTTGAAGGTGCAAGTGAGTGCTCTAGTTATTGCTACTCCATCACAAACTCCTTCAAAACTGCTTGCCTGTGAACAGTGATGGCAATTATTTTGCTCGCGAATCTGCAGTCTGGGGACAGGATAGCTTGTTTCCACTGGGGTGGCTCTCGGGCTGGGGCTGGAATCGCCTGAAGGCTCACCCACGTGTCTGGCACTGGGGCGGAGAAGACATGAACAGCTGGGTCCTCAGGCCTCTCTCTCTCTCGTGGTCTTCCGCATGGTCTCTCCAGCATGGCAGCTTCTGTGTAGCTGGACTTCTTACCTGGTGGCTCAGGGCTTCAAAGGTGTGTGTTCCAGGAGAGAGGGCTGGGCAGGAGCTGATCACCTTTTCTGACCTAGTCTCAGGAGTCACTTAGCATCACTTCCATCTGCATTATATTTTTTAGAAGCCAGTTGCTTCAAGGGATGAAGAATTAGACTCTTGTTTTTGTGGCAGGAGTGTCAAAGAATTACAGACCTGTTTTAAAACCCTCACAGGGAAGGAGTAATTTCCAGAACCCGGAGAGGGTAGCTATGTGGAGAGGGCTTCAAAGGTGTGTGTTCTTTGGCCTGACCGAAGCTGTGGCCGTTGGGAGAGGAATACAGCTGTCCCTCAGCTGTCTGCTGAGAGGGAGCTGGAGGGATAAATAACCAGGCCCCCTTCCCATCTCCTGCTGGTGTCTCCCATTGGCTGAACCCAACTGAGCCAGAGGGCAAAGGAGCTGGTGGATGCAGCCCACGAGCTCAGGCCCCCGGGGCACAGAGGGGCCGAGAGGGTGGGGAGTGCATCTGGAGGGGCAAATGGAAGACACCCAGCACGGCGTCCACCCTAGTGCTGTTTTCTTAGAGCTGTCTCTCCATTCCCTCTGTGTCTTATTCAGGCTGGACAACCTGCTGTTCCATCCGGAAAAGACCGAGGTGCTTGCTGTCCTCGACTGGGAACTTTCGACCTTAGGCGACCCCCTGGCGGACGTGGCCTTCAGCTGCCTGGCTCACTACCTGCCGTCCAGTTTTCCCATGCTGCGGGGTAGGAACTGCTGCTGGGCGAGAGGGAGGGATCGAGCCAGCTCTGTTCTCACAGCGTTGGGGCAGACGGCTGAAGTCGGCATGACTGGGCTGGTGCACGAATGGAGGTCCTGGGGGTTGTGGTAGAAAATGCAGTTGGAACACATTGCTGTCACAATGGGGAGAAACCGGTGTAGTATTTTAAGTGAGAATCCTGTGTGTACAGCCACCTCCTATGCTTTCACCCAACTAACTTCTATCTAATTTTTTAAATTAAAAAAACACAAGTTTATTTAAGAATTTTAGAGCCAAAAGAAAACGGTTAAAATCATCAGTAGTCCCAGAGATGACCACTGCTGACATTTTCTTCTTCTCATCTTTTTTTATGTGTATACATACTTTAAACAAAAATGTGGTTAGACAATTTTATGACTTGCTTTTTTTCACTTAATTATACACTTTGGACGTGTTTTCATGCTGTTAAGTATTTCTTCTGCAGCATCATTTTTAATGGCGGCGTAGAATTTTATTGTATAGAATTAACTTAATCAAGATGTTAAACATCCAGACATCTTATTTGGATGTTTAATTTGTTCCCAATGTTTTTTATATTACCTCCCCTTACCCCCACAAAAATGCAGTGAACGTCTTTGTACTAATATCTTTGCCTATATATAAGGTATACTCCTAGGATAAATTGCTAGCAATGGAATATATTACATACTTCCAAACCATGAAAATGTTACAAATGAAGCGTATAGGTAAAATTTTTTATTTGTTGTAATTATCTTTTTCATAAGTTGGTAGGATCTTTCTTTCAATGTCATTTTTTCTCAAATGACTAATTGAAAATAATATGCATCCATCCTGAACTGTGGTCCCAATGGAATTGGAGGCCCCTCATTCCTTTCTTTACTGGCAATTTAGCCTGAAACTTTTAAGAACCAATTTGTGAATAATAACTTCATGCCTGGAGTCCAGCCATCTCAGGGAGGAAAAGCATTGAAATAATGAGCTAACCCTTTGAACTAGTTGTGAAGCTAATTTCCAAGGGAGGAAGTGATTTTCAGAATTTAAATTCTTGCAGGCCACAGGGGAGAGTGGAGTCATTGACTGCCCAGGTCTGGCTCTGTCTGTCGCTTCAGGTTTGAGTGACTGTGATTTGACTCAGCTGGGCATCCCTACAGCAGAGGAGTATTTCAGGATGTACTGTCTGCACGCGGGGATCCCTCCCGTCGAGAACTGGAACTTCTACGTGGCTTTCTCCTTCTTCCGACTGGCCGCAATCCTACAGGGAGTCTACAAGCGCTCGCTCACAGGTAAAGGGATGGCCTGCAAGAGCTGGCTGAGGGTGTGAGTCGCATGGCTTCTCCCCCTGAAAGCCCTCCCGAGGGCTCAGAGGTACCGCTTTGGCCAGAATTCTACAAGATTCAGATAATTCAACCATTTCTCGTTAAGGATATATCATATATATAGTCTTTATTTTTTTTTATTTTTTTATTTTTTTTAAAGATTTTATTTATTTCCCCCCAAAGCCCCAGTGGAGGGGCCGGCCCTGTGGCTTGGTGGTTAAGTGCGCGCGCTGCAATGCTGGTGGCCCGGGTTCGGATCCCGGGTGCGCATCGAGGCACCACTTCTCCGTCCATCCTGAGGCCGAGTCCCACATAC